GTGGGAGTAGAGGTAAGCGGTGGCCTGCCACTGGCTGTGCAGGCGGGAACCTGTGCGGGGAGGCGGGAAGGAGGGAAGGAGAGTGCATCGGGGTTTGCCTACCTCCCTGTGGGTGATGGTGCGTGGTTTGGGTTGTTTTTTGGGGGGGGGTTGGTTTTTTTTTTCAGTTATTATGAAAGTCAGTTGCTCTGACAGTGTTAGTGGTATTTTACTTGTATTCTTGTCTATACTCCGTGTGCACAAAGCAGAATGTTGGGGTTATTCAGCCTGGAGAAGACTCCAGGGAGACCTTATTGCAGCCTTTTGGTAGTTAAAAGGGGCCTATAAGAGAGCTGGGGAAAGACTTTTTAGCCTGTTGTGACAGGATGAGGCATAATGGTTTTAAACTAAAAGAGGGGAGATTCAGGCTGGATGTGGGGAAAAACTTCTTTGCAACTGTGTTAAAACACTGACACAGGTTGCCTGGAGAGGTGGTCAATGCGCCATCCCTGGACTCATTCAAGGCCAGGCTGATGTGGGTGTGGGCAGCCTGATCTAGCTCATTGCAGGGGGATTGGACTGGATGGCCTTTGAAGGTCCCTTCCAACCCAAACTATTTTGTGATTCTATGACAGTCACCAGGGCAATAAAGCTAGTAATACAGGCATGCACACGCAGCCCCTCACAGCCATCTCCCTCTCTTTCCTGCTCCCTTTCATTAGAGCAAATGAAAGGCTTTAATAAAAACCATTCTGGTTTCAAAATAAGGAAAGTATATTTTACAGGGAGGTACTAAAATAAGCCTCTTACTGGCTGGTTTCCATGGTACAGACCTTAACCTTGTGGTATGAATTCTGCTCCATGATTTCCCAATCACTGATTTTTGTCTGTATAGGGGGAAAGTTTTGAAAAACAAACCCACAAAAAAAGAAAACCAACCACAAAACAAACCACAACAAAATACCTTGAACCCCAAAACCCCCCACCCTGATGTGAGTAAACTAACTACTCACTTTGGTCTCATTAATCCAACTGGCTGTTGCTTGAAAGTAGCAGTATCAAGAACCTAAGAGGGTGAAGACCTGGTGTAAAACAGTCAAGGACAGCACATACACTGTCAGACTTGTCATTCACACTTTGAAACGATTCCTGCTAAGTGGAATGTCCAATCTCTTTGCTTAGTCAAATATGCTACTCTGAACTATGCATTCAGGACCTGAAGCTGTTGAGGTGGACTTGGCTTTCTCAGAAGTATTAACATATTTTGTGTCAATAACTACGTGATCTCAAGAACTGGGATGTTGCCCATACAAAGCTGGATGGAGAACAATATCCTTCAGTCCCTTCTGTCCCTTACACACCTTTCAGAATTACAAAATTAAGTACATATACCCTGAGGAAATGTTACGTGGAGGGAAGGAGGGAGATGCTGGTATGTTGCTCATACTTTCAATTTCAATTAGTATACGCGCATTCATGGATTCCCAGCCCCAATAAAAGGATGAACAATCCTATGGGAGGTGGGGGGAATATCACTTCATTAAAAAACTGCAAGACCACAGCTGTTTCATTCCACAAGAAGTAATTAAAAACATAGAAAAGTATTGGAGTTGGAGCAAATGAATGTTTTACATTTAAAAAGGGAAGAAAGCAAAGCTATTATCTTAGAAGACATTGAAGGTGTTTGCCTATGGCTCTATATTCTTCCTCTGTGCCTTGGCTGTGTCTCAAGCCAATTTAATATTGGAACAGCTCAAACAAAACCACCCCAGTGTTACAATAGCTTCTGTCTTTGCTCATGGCACCAATTGTTCTCAAATATGAAACATATCATTATAAACTGAAGGCTTGATAATTGTGAGAATTGGCTGTCTAACTTGCTCCCAGCAATTTAGCAAGGAAGGAATTTCTTGGCTCGAAAGTTCTGCTTAACTTGAGCAGTGTTTTGTATGGCCAGAGCAATGTAAATGACTTCCAGAAAATGCCCTTAGTACTGAATGTAGTTAGAGAAGAATATATGCACACCTTTACTGTACCAGAGAAGAACACAAGCAAGCCTTGTTTGCAGCTACGTGCATGTGACTCTTGCTGGCCTGCACCTGTGAAACTACAGTAAATATTCACACAAAGACAATTCTGATATACAGAACAGTACACCACCACGTATCATTAGCATCTATGGGACAAGAAATAGATCAGTTAGACTGAGTAACTACAATGACAGTTACCCACAAACAACTTGGACCTTATCTCTCACTCTTAGAAGTATCTCCATGGGATATAAGCAGTAAGAAAGAGCTATGTTTTATCAGCCTCACCTGATTGTAGACTGCAATTTGTGCATAGTCTTGATCTTCATTCAAAGATCGTATAGTCAGTGTGTTTGTGAATAGTCACATCTAACAGAATCATGTTCTTGAAGATGCCCCTGAAAATCAAGCTGGATCTGGTCAGGTTTAAGTTATCGAAAAAGTGTCCCCTCGTGTGTATGCTTTAGAAACTGCAGCTGCTGTTCTTAGCTTTATGAAATGGTTGCTTGCACTGCCATGCACACAGAGACTCTGATACTTTCAGAACTAATGGTCCTGGTATGTGGAATTGACAGCAAATAACCTTTATGTTGTGCTGATAGGTGGCACAAATATGTGTTACAGCCATATTTTTAAGGAGGAACTAACAGGTTAGCACAGATCACTGTGGTTTTACAACTCAGACTTTTTAATTCATTTTTGTTAGTGCTTGACTTCGTAACCTTAATACTGTTCTTTCTGTTACTTCCTGTCTTGTTTTTACATATAGCATACATGGGTATGTAAAACCCACTAAATTCCAAATTGGGCTGTGAGGGGGTTTTTACCTGATCTGTGTGGGAGGACACAAAATCACTGAGGTCTTCTATCTGGAAAACAGCATTATGTGCTTCTCTCTAACTTTTCTATCTTTATTGCTTTCCTTAGGTTTGCAATAATGGTAAAGGAGAATATTGTAAAAGATAGTGAAGATTCTGAGCCATCAGCATGTGAGCGAAATGGCATGATTCCCTTGCATGAGCAAAGTGAGGTAATTAATTAGGGTCTCAAAGTACAATTTCAGTCAGAGGGAACCTTCCTTTTCCTTTCCTTTTTCTTTCTACACCAGTTAAAATCTCTACATTGGAAGGGAACACAGAAACCTTCTTAGCAGGAATTTGTTACAATTAACAAATGTTCAGTGTTTTGAAGTCTGTGGTATGTTGGATTGCTGGAAATCAGAGGTTGCAATTTCAGCTTTAAGTGGAAAATGCATCAGCTTAGATTTTATAATCAGCTATTCAAGAGGATTTTGTGGACTTAAAATTGCTTCTTTACTTTCAAATTGTGCCTATTAGTCCAGTTGCTGGAAGTTGTTCTTGCATGTCTTCTTTATGTACGAAAAATAAATGCTTCCCCCAATTTTAAACTTCTGTATAATTCCGGTGTTCTTGGAAATTTCTATGGCTTTAAAAATGATTTGCTGTAAACGCAAGTAAGGATAAAGTTCTTAACATAAATGGTACTTTAGGGTAAACGTATAGTATTGACTGTAAAGATAAGTACTGTATGGTGTATTTTTATACACACAGGTAGCTGGTAATTAGAGGGTAGATACAGAAGTAACTCAATGCTGAAAGCTCACAAGATTTGTGTTCCAAGTGTGGCTCTGAGTAAGGGAGATATATATAGAGACAGACAATACAGAAAAAATAATTGGAAATGTGGAACTGTTACTGGAGGAGGGCCAAACCACAGTATAGGCAAGAATTCCATGTCCATGCTATGACAGTGAGACGACATGAAGGTGAATAATCATAGGAGAAGGCAGATGATTAACTTGTCAAAAATAAGGACCCTAAAATGAAGTGAGACACATATCCAAAAATGGTCAAAAAGCACTTTGGCTATGAAGACGGATAACTAGATGAATCAGTATAAGAGAACAGCTTCAAGGAACCATTCTTCAAGGAAGTAACCCCTAGGGTAGTATTTCTCCATCTCTACCTTGACTTACCAGCTTGAGACTTCCAGCAATGGATCATGTAAGTAATGCTTGCACTGGCCAGCTGTTCTTTCATCTCTAATCATAAGTAGGTTTTGTTATTTTGGTTCAAGGCTTTGCAACAGAAATTAAGGAATTATACAAAAGACACTGTATCACTGGAATGATGCTGGTCATTAACTATATTGTGAAATCGAGACTGGAAAAAGAACCTTATCAAATTGTTTCAAATATTAACAAATATTTAGCTTGTATACAAGGCAACATGAACCTGGCCTGTTAATAACATTTCTTCATCAAATGTGAACAGGTGCTATTTGTACTGGGATAGGAGTCCTGTCAGTTGCAGATAAAAAGGCAAATGTCCCACAGTATTTCACATGCAGTTCTTTGTGCCATGCAAAATCAAACACATCACCAAAAATCACAAATATACTACAAAGCTGGACCATTCCTACAGTGATAGTTAAGTCTGTGGTATGTTGGATGGCTGGAAATCAGTAGTTGCAATTTCAGCTTGAAGTGGAACTAATTCACTAATGTAGACAGTGTGGAATTCATGCATCACAACTGATTTCAGGTCTTGTACATGGCTTTGGATGTATACACTGCTGTTTCTTAGAGAGTCTCATTCTTTTCATTCAGGAGGGACCAGCAGTAGATGTCAAAGGTACTGGTGGGAACATACAGACAGAAGAAACTGCTCTCTTGAATCACTGTGCTCAGCAACCTCTGGAACCAACAACAGGGTCTTCAATACCTGCAAGAACACCGAGCCAAATATTTACTTGCCCTCCTCAAGGTTTACTGTCCCGAACAGTGACAAATGGTATGTACCAGAGTTTAGTGGAAACAAAAAATGGCAAATGAAATATTCCTTTCTCTGGATGTGATGATATTTGTCCATTGTCCTTGAAAATGATGAAGGGAAATGGCTGTGTTTTACATATCACACTTTTGTTTCAATGTTTTAGCAGGGGAAAAAAAACCAAAATCAGGTGAAACAAAAATTTGAATGTGTATTTGTTTGTTCCTCCATCCTCTCTTCTGTTTAGTGTGGCAGGTATGTTTTTGCATTGCAAGTAGTTTTCATCAGAAGAAAGATCTCCTAATTCTTATCTTTATAGTTTGTTTTGGTGTGGGATCATTAAGATGATTATAAAAACAGTGGTATTTTTGTCACACTCATGGCTTTTTGTTGAATCAAGGCCACAAATATGGGGCTTAGCAGCCATGCCTTCCTTTGTTCCTTAATACTGTAGACATGCAAAGTCAAGAATCCTCCTAACTACACGGCAAACTGACCCATTCTGTTTAAGATGTGCCCTACGCTGGAGGCTCACAGAAGAAAATGCCTGTCTAACCAGTTTAAGTCTTTTCTTAACAAAAGACTCTTCCTGTGGTTTTGACTGCTTGCACAGCCTCCATTCTCTCTCACTTGGGATTCTTAGGCTTTCATGTTTGGAAATCTACTGGTCTTCCCTTTGCCACCTGTCACCTTTAAATTAGTTGAAGAAAAATCTAATCTGAAAATGCAATACATTTTCTTACAAGAAAAAAGATTTATTCAACACATTTTTTCCTCTCTTGCCTTCTGCTTTTATATCTTTGTGTGCCTGTTCCTGTTGGATAACTGTAGGAACAGATTTGGGAACCTGGAAAGAGCACAATATTTTACATATTTATAATATTTGCACTTACTGTTCTCATACTATTTTTCAGGACTTTTTTTTTTCCACTGTGTATTATCCCTCTCTGATTGCTGTATCAAGGGAAGTATTTGTACTACTTCAGTCTGCCCAGAGACATGACCTTCTTCAGATTTCCATCCCCCCTCCAGTGATGGCAGCATATTGCATAAGCACATCTAGCCAAAAAATGGTACTTGAATTCTTTTCAGAATTAGACTGGAGTTTCAGTCATTAGCCTGAAGATACACCAAGCTGTACAGCAGCAGGCTCTTACTGCAGTTTTGAAGTAGCTGAAGGAAGATATGCAAAGGCAAGATAAGTTAGTGAATGTGTTTGCTTTAAGTTCAGGACCTGTTAAGTGCTTTCCACAGTGGCTCAGGGTTCACTCAGTACTTTCTGGTCCCTAGTGATGTTCTTAGTACCATTTTTTAAAGTATTTTAGCACCTGTAAAATCAGAACATCAGTTTAGGGAGCAACAAAGATTAACCATATTGTTATGATTAAACTAATTTTTAAGGTAAGTGATGTTATTTTTGAAAGTCATGGCAATGTTTTCATTAGTAGAAAAACGAAAGTGATGTAATAGCACACAAAGCCATCCCTGAGAGATGATTAAATATGAATATTTCTTGTTTTGTTCCAGTTGCAATTGTGGTCCTGGTTTGGGCTGTGGTTTGGTCCATCACTGGGGCTGAGTGTCTCCCAGGTGGAAATCTGTTTGGAATTCTGCTTCTTTATTTTTTTGCTGTCATTGGAGGGAAAATTTTTGGATTCATTAAAATACGAACACTACCCCCTCTCCCTGCTCTTCTGGGTAAGATGTCCTTCCTTCTTTTCTTCCCACATATTTGAGTGGTTTAAACTGTCAAGTAGCATCTGCAGGCTAGGTAAGTTTGGATTTGGAATGAACAAACTGTCACACTCAATCTGTAGCTTTTCCAAGTGACTTTAATCTCATATTCTCTGAGAAGGTGCAAAATTCCCCAACTGTCTCAGGTGAAATTGCCTGTATGTTACTAAGGCTCTCCTTTTAATTCTCTGGGGACCAGAGAACTGTATACCTACAGATTCAAAGATTATTGTCCTTCAGTCCCGTCTGCCACAGTTACTTAAAATTTGGGTTTAATGTTACCAAACAGGATTCTTAATCTAGACCTCCTGTTACAGTAGAATAATTCATAAGGAAATTATAGCTGAGCAGTTTTGCATGATCTCACACAATGAAAATGTTTTCCAAAGAAAACACTACAAGAATTCCCTACTACTGGTAGTCCAAAACAATTTCTTTCTTCTTCCTTTATCTCAAGTTAACTGAAACCTGAGAAAATAAACTGAGCACAAAGAATAATTCAAATGAGAGGGAGGGAAGTTTTGCATGTAGCACACCTGCCTGCAATGACATGAACACAGAATGTAACACACAGGGATTCTGCCCTATTTTAGTAAACAAAGAGAAAAAAGGGTAGAAGGAAAAAAATCTGACCTTTTGGATTTTGCTTTTTTCTTTTTTAAATTACATCTGCATCTGAAAGTCATGAGTTGAGCATGACACTGCTTGTCAGACAGGTAATACTGAGCAACAGAAACTTAAGCATGACAGCTCATGTCTGTTGAGTTGCTTAGGACTGAGTTCATCATTCAGATCCCCAGTCTTCGAGGAAAATTGGAGAAATCTGTAAGTCAGAAGAAGATGGACAATGTCTTTGAATATTCTTTTTTACACCGGAAATACAATTCTTGTACTTTTTAATACTAATTCTTTAGTACTTTCGTACTCTTTAATCCGTTTGTGCTAGGTGCAGTTGAGTATAGTATGGTTGGCTGAGCACTTAAGCACTTTATAGTGAACTTCTGTTTCAGGGGAAAAAAAAGGAGTGAAATTGCTACTGAAACAGTCACACAGTATATTTTAGATATATATTGCAGAGAGGTCTCTGCTGCAGGCAACATGGAGCAGAACAGTGAAGATACCCATTGAGGAGGAGTTTTTTGCTTTGTTAAGTAGATTTCTAGATCAGGGTAGCTCCAGTGATTTGGACCTCATGCAAACATTGCAAAGAGGATGATGTGATCATTATGCTGGCCTGATATAACTGTCATGAGGCACATCATTACTTATGCCATTTTTGTTCCTGGGAGGTGGTAGAAAGAAAAATGTCCAAAAATTTAGTGTGTTCCAGGACAAATCAAGTCCACAGCCAAGGCTCACACCAAGCTGGGACCAACCTGAGCAGTGTTTGCTGACTTTTCGTCTTCTTTTCATTGCCTGTTTCTTAATGTAGCTAATACAAATTAATGCCACAAAAATGTATCTTTGAATCTTCAGGACCTATAGTGAATCTCTGCAGAGCTACATTTCAAGTCAAACTTCCCTGTACTTTTCTGTATCCTTCCAGAACTACAGTTCCAGTAGCTTTGCAGGAAGTCTCTGATTCCTCTTTGCATAGAAGTCATATTGCCAGAGACTTTTTAAATGTCTAAGTTAGTCCACAATTAGCTGTTTTAGATTGTATTTCCCAATGAACTCAGCATTGTGGTTCCTCTGATACCTGCATTTTTTACACCTAGGAGGATTTTTAATGACTTCCAACTTCTGAGGTAAATACACAGTATTAGACAATCTTCCTCTTTTCATGTTAAAACAAGCTAAGAAAAAAAAAACCTTTAAGGATGCAGAAGGGTCTTTGCTTATGCCAAGTATGACCTGTATGTGGTGAACAAAGCTGAATTCTGTTGACTCGCACTGAATTCATGTGTCAGCATTCATTGGTGACCTGGTGTGTTCTTAGGCCACTTTCATTGCTTTAAACATGTCTCTCTTTTTCCATGCCTCAGTCCCCATTGTTAAAACATGGCTAATAATTCAGAACATTAATTGTTTCTTCATCTCTCATAAATACATAATATGGTGTCTATTTTTAAGACTACTATGCAAGCTTGTCTTGTACAATAAAAACAAATCATTTGACAGGCACTTACTTGCTTTCATTTAAGGGATGCTACTTGCTGGTTTCCTGATCCGAAATACATGGTTCATTAGTGACATTGTCCAGATAAACCTGCGCTGGTCGGCAGCACTGAGGAACATTGCTCTTTCGATTATCTTGACCCGAGCAGGACTTGGCCTGGATCCAATGGTATGGCAACAGTTATTTGTGTGCAGCAAAGTATATAACAGCCCTCAAAAACAAAAAAATTTTTTTTGAATAATTGTGTCTGTTAAAATACTGAACTGTTAAGTCTTAAAGGATCTGCAAATGAGATCATAGAATGATAGAATAGTTTTGGTTAGAAGAGACTTTAAAGATCATCCAGTTCCAACTCCCTGCTATGGGCAGAGACACCTTCCACTAGACCAGGTTGCTCAAAGCCCCATCCAGCCTGGCCTTGAACACTGCCAGGGATGGGGCAGCCACAGCTTCTCTGGGCAACCTGTGCCACTGTCTCACCATCCTCACAGTGAATTACAGAAAGCATAGTTTTTATCATATAGTTATATGTATGTTAACACTGGCAGTTGGGTTTGTAAGTAGGCAAGCATTCCAAAAACTACTTGAAGAAAACTGATTTTATGACCATTTTCCCCTTGCCTTAAACAAATTTTCTGAATTTTGTGAGTAGAACATCTTGAGGACATGTACTCCATGGTTTGTCAGGAAGAGTTTATGCTCCCTGACAAACTGAAACAAGTAATGGAAGGGATCCCCAATCCTTGAAAGAGAATGTTGCTTGTGTTGACACAAATCAAAAAACACAGCCAACTAAAACATCCAAACCTGTGTGTCTTTTTTTTACTTTTTTGTTTTCTTTTTTTTTTAATCCTTGCCATTTTAATGCAAATACATTAATGACAAACCTGAGTCCTGCTGCACTACAGAAACAATGCTTCACATCACAATTAGGTTTTTTTGTTCACAATGAAGCCCATAACGCTCCTGTGAACAAAACCAACAGTCTTCCTCTGCACACCATGAAACTTGACATCCCATAATTAATGAAGGTGAGGTTTTGCTTAATCAAAATCAGCTGGCTGAAATAAAGCTGTACTGTATTGGCCCCTACCCATTTAAGTTTAATGTTCCACTTAAAGTTTATAAAAAACTTAGGTCAAATATAGCTAGTTCAGATTTTACTTAACCAATAAACTTAACTGATTTTACTTAACCAATAAAAACTTGGGAGTTGCCAGTTCTTCAGATATTTAGGAAAACAGTGGTGTCATTCTTGAAAAATGCCTGGTTTCCTAGATTATAACTGTCTCTTTTCCCAAGACATTGAAGCTTGTATGAGCCTGTTGTTACACACAGCTCGGATGCCCGGTTCTGGGAGATGGCTTTTCTTTATCGTCCACGACAACATTTTTTTGCCAAGGGAGCTTCATCTTTGACTCATTTTTCTCCCATGTGGCAATCAAAGCTCTGGAGCAATGCTTTGATGCAGTTACAATGGCTCCTGGCCTAGTTGAAGCTGTGAAGACAAAGATGTCAGTTGCTCTGGTAATTCTCAGCCCCAATTATGCTGGGATAAACTGCACTGGTAAAAAGTCCAACTCACTGATTTCCCCCCCACAATGTCAAAATTACGGACCTGTCCTAGCAGAGTCACGTTTGTGACTAACTTTTAAAGGAAGCTGTTACAAATAAATACTCTGGTTTAGAGAATTTTTTTAATAGAAGTTGCTGAGCCAAATGGAACTTAAATGCTCTGGATATCAAGTGAGAGACAGCTGGAAGAAACGCTTGGCTCCTTGTGCCAAGTGTATGTATTTCTACAATTTTTCATGGCTTACTGATGTGGGAAAAATTATTTTGAGGTGCTTGTGCAACTTGTAGGATTATAGCTAACTCTGCTGTGGGCGGAGCAAGTGGCCTCAAGCAACTGTGGGTAAGTCAGCTGTGTTGAGGCTGCGCTTTTCAAATGGATCCCAGCTAGTCCAGCCTCTCACATTTCACTTGCTCTGCACAAGAAGCCAAACAGAATTTTCTGCCACTCCTTCCTGTGACATGCAGGAACCTTGCTGGCCGTAGATTCAGTGGTTTCACTGCCACACTTGGAATTTTATATCCAAAACCAGTTGTGCTTGAGCCTGTCTCAGGCTTAAGCTGTGTAAAGCTGTCTCATCCTGTACTGCAGCTCAGAGAGGATTCTTCTCATAAACCATATCAGATTGTGCATGTGTTTCCTCTCTATAAGGACAAGGGTACTGAGACTAATGTCTGAATGTGTTTGTACATTGCAGGCTCTTAAGAAGCTCAAAGCAGTCTGTTTACGACTTTCATTTGGACCATGCATTTCAGAAACATGTACAGCTGCTGTTTTTGCCTACTTGCTTATGCATTTGCCATGGCAATGGGGATTTATATTAGGGTAATGTACTCTCTTTTCTCCTGTATGACGAATGTGCCTGTTTTTGTGCTACAGTTAAATGATCCAAATGCAGTTAGTGCTCTGCACCAAAAGGAGACCTCAGTTTAATGTCAGTTAAGAAGCTGTGCTTAGCCCCTGTGGTTGTTTGCTTACCATTCATGTCTGGCTCTGTGGCTAATTTAAAGGTCACATTTCCAGGCCATGAAGGAGTACTTGGATCATTACTCTTCTGCGTTCACAATCTGAGCACTTGAAGAAGGCTGGTGCAACCCCTGAGTCTTAACCACATCACAGAGGGCTTCTAGGGATAGAAGATGATACCACAGTTTAGAGAATCTTCATGCTGGAATTCAGAATTTCCTCATAGAGACATGCACATAGGACAGTCTTCCTGTCACAAGTCAAGGATAAGGATATGGCATGTTATATTCTGGAGTAATATATTTGAAAAGGAAACCTTTTCCATCTATTTCTGTCTAAACTGGTGGAATTGGTGCAGATGCATATACTGGAGCAAGATGGATGAATTCCTCCTATGCCACACATCATTGATTTTTATGAGAAGAAACTGGGCTACTGAGTCATAAGCATGTCTAGACTAGGTTCCTAAATGGGACAATTAAGGCATGTATCAGGGAGCATAACTGGCCTCCAGTGTAGAATCAAGTCTTGGAGCCCTTTATTTTTAATACTATTGAGTTGGGCAGGAAGAAAGAGCTGATTGCAAATACGTGTAGAAATACCCCTGCTTGTAATTAGCAGGGAAAGGTAAGGAAAATACCTTATGTAAACATCTGTTTACTTATGCTTTAAAGGAATTGGGGTCAGAACATTTTGAGGTTTTTCGGTTCAGTGCTTTCTTTTTAAGAGAGGCTGAACCTATGTGTTTTCAGTTTTGTTCTAGGTGCAGTTTCCCCTGCTGTGGTGGTTCCCTCAATGCTGATTTTACAAGCTGGGGGATATGGGGTGGAGAAAGGTGTCCCAACTTTGCTAATGGCAGCTGGCAGCATTGATGACATTATGGCTATCACAGGCTTCAACACTTGCCTTGGAATAGCTTTCTCTTCTGGTATGCTGGTTAATCTGTGTGTGGTGAAATCCAGAACAAACAATGATGTTTTGAAGGATATGTGCTCTGTTATGACTGACTGGTTTGTAACTTACTGACATCTCCTTATAAAGTTCATGTATGGACTTGAATATTGAAAGGGAAATTACCCATGATCAAAAGTCTTGATATAACATTGTCTGCTCTGAGTTGTGGGTCACAACAATTCTCAGAGAACATCTTTCCCTCTCTGCTCCCTTAACTGCCAAGTCTTGCCCTGCACGCCCAACATAACGCTTTCAAATTTCCCTGGGTTTGGCAATGTTCTCGCAGTGGCTCTTTCTCTAGCTTCTCCAGCACACTTTCTTGGCATGAACTTCCAGAGAGAGAAAGTTGCACTATCCAGTCCTTTTAGGGCCATACGTTCCATCCTGAACCCCTCTGCCCCAACTAATTTAAAGCAGACACTGTCCTGGAATCACCCTCGTAGGTCTACAGTGTGGTTTGTGCATGAAAAGTCTGTGTATGGCTTACTGAACCCATTTTTCTTCTGCCAAATAGGTTCTACTCTGTACAATGTTCTCCATGGGGTGCTGGAGGTTGCTGTTGGCATAGCAGCTGGGGGGATTCTGGGAATGTTTGTTCGATATTTCCCAAGCCACGATCAGGTAAAAAAAAAACACAGTAAAAAAACCTTTTTATGAAATAGAGACTCTTTGCAAAGGGATAATGTTCTTAAGTTAATCATTTCCAAGCTTCACGTGAAGCTGGTTTTGGGGAAAGCTGCGCACAGTGCTAACAGCTTTCAGGTTGCAAAGCCTATCCATCAAGTGAGGATGTGTGTTATAGGTGATTACTTACTGCACCAGTAACAATGTATGATCTCACAGTCCTTCCCAATGCAGAATTTGAAACTGAGCTCGCCACCCTGCCCTCACTGAAGGCGGTGGAACTGTCCACATGTAAAGGAGAAAGGGTCTGATACCCATTTCAGACAGTAAAATAATCATCAATTGGATTGACGTGTGACACATTTACTTTTGTAAGACTAGGCCTCTTGCCAGGAGGCCTAAGATTAAAAATGAGTAAAGCGGACAGATTGTAGGCATTAAGTGATGGGGCATACAAAGAGTGCTGATTGGAATGTGTGGCTTTCAATGAAAATCAAGCCTATCTAAAATGATAGATGAATTTACTATCAAGGGGCAATTAAGAGAACAGAAAATTGTGCAAGAAAGTAGACATGTTCTGGACTATTGAAGTCAATTTGCAAAGCATCTGTTGCCCTCAGTGGGACCAGATTTTCTTCTTATTAAATAGCATAAGAAGTGTGATACAAGAACTAAACAGATAAATAGAAACGGGCAACAATGGAAGAGATATAACTGTCTGCTGCAAGACTGGATCAAATAAAACTAGACTGTCCCTGCCTAATATTTGTTTGGCTTGTCCTTAAACCCATCTAGTGGCAAGGATTTCACCTCTTCTTGGATAAATTGTTCTAGTACTTGACTGCGCAGGTAGAAAATCCTGTTATCACAGAGCTGAAGCAGGGCTGTTAGAATAGAGAATCATATTCCTTGTGATACAAAAAGCCTACTGGAATTAAGACTTTGGATGGGCAGAGGAGAGAAAATATTACACTTCAAAATGTAAATTTCTTAGGAATTAATGTAAAAAACCCCCCACTCTCAACCCAGCAGTTCCTGTCTCGCTTGAAAGCTTTGGTTCTTTCACAGTGGTTAATGACAATTTCTATTTTCAAATTGTTATTTTCAAAATCATCAGCAGTAACCTTTTTCCTCCATTTCTAAAAAAAATTCTTTTTTTTTTTGTTGGTCTCTTTCCTTGGCTGCAGGCGTCTCTGGCATGGAAGAGATCGTATTTTCTACTTGGGCTGTCCATGTTTGCTGTTTTTGGCAGCACCTACTTTGGCTTCCCTGGATCAGGAGGGCTCTGCACATTAGTCTTAGCTTTTGTTGGAGGTGTTGGATGGTCTGAGGAAAAGGTGAATGTTTACATAAAGAAGCATACCATACCAAAACCCTTTTGCATGTACAGCCTGATGGGAGTTTGAATTTCTGTCAGGAATGATAGTGATGCATTTATGAAGCTTTAGGAGGGGTATGGATTAAAGAAAAAAGCATTCTACATTTATTTTGGAAGTCTTTAACATTTAGCATGACAGAAAGTTATGTGAATATATATTAATACAGAGCCTAACATAATGACAGAGAAATGCTCTCAAGCTTTTCTTAGACATCTTAAGCCATTTAAAGGAGATTTAGTTGTCAAGGCACTTGACTAGGAATCCGAAGCTTTACATCCCAGCTCTATGAGTGTCTGTAACCTTACGCAGTCACTTTATGGTAAGATTTACAAACAGGTGTCCAAAATACGGTTGTGCACATGGCCTGAATACCCTGAGGTTTTGTTCTGCATGGTTTTGGGGTGGTGAAATGGAAAACAATAAATAAGCATCCTCTCTCATCTTTCCCAAATCCCAGCAGTGTATTCTGGATAAAAGAGAGCAGGGTGCCCACAGTAAAGGGTGATATAAGGCCATATATAAACCATACAAAAGACTGCTTTTTAGTCAGTTTTTCTTAGCTGAGTCTGCTTCCTCTTACTGTTGCTGCCCCACTGCATTTCTGTACCTTGTCATGTCTCTTTTGCTTGATAACATCTACACTTAATGACTTGAGGGCATCTTTCCCTCTACAGCTGTAGCCTTGTGACATGCAGTAGGAGAAGGGGAGAAGAAGGGAAAGAAAAGGCGATCAGATATAGCAGAGTCCATGTTCCTATCCCCATCTAGACCCTGAGTTCAGTAAGATCTCAAGGTTTGTTAAAATAACGAAAAAGAAACCATGGTTTCTATTTTAAGTATTACCTTGTCCAAGTATAAAAGAAGAAAAACTCACATTGGGACTTAACTACTTAAGGACATTAGAACAGATAAAGCTCTCTATTGAAAAGCTTCTAAACCATTTCAGAAGGAAGGACCTTCTGCAGCCTATGAATGCTTAGTTTAAATTATTTTTATCAGTGAATGAAGCTTCTTGGTCTTAAAGATGTTCATTTCAAATGCCTTAGCTCTTTTCTATCAGGTTCAGTCAGAGATTCCAAGGTTTTCCTGCTGA